AGGATCAGTGGAAAACCATTGATTTACTTGTCCATAACACCACATTATGAGCCTTCAAATTATATGGAAGCTGTGGTTTGATAAATAGCTGTGACATCAAGGAAAAATAACCAACATCATCCTGATGTGCTCCTACAGTGCATTAGTTGGCCAAGAATCAGTCATTCAAGCAAGTAGTAGCCAATCATCTAAACAGGACATCTGATGTGGCATTAACCACTGTGCTGATTCTACACCGTACCATTTCATGTGTTTTCATGTGTATGAAGAATAAATACTTTCATGTCATAAGTCGTTCGCAAAAAGAAGTCGGTATCTTGTCCGAGGAAAAATGAGTCACGTCTTTGAAAACTTGTTAAAAAGAAATTCACCTACCAGGATGGATATTAGTACGTTGATAAAATACTCAACTCAATCATTGACCAGTGGCGTTGGTGGTTTAATTGTGCACAGTATAACCTTTTCGAACCACTTGTTTGTAAACCATATAGGGAAAATGACTCTAATGTTGGCCTATGGCTCTAAGATTGGGCCCATCGCTAAAAATCTGGTATTGATCAATTTTATCTAGATGAAAGCGTCATTGGGACGGTACTAAAAGATATTTTTGGTTGTTATTGAAAATTTAGTCAATTGCTGAATTTATGTATGGGCCAAAATTATGGACATTTAGGCCAACATTACATCCACTTCCCCTAACTTGGGTAGAATTTTGTTGTACCAATAAGTATCATCATATTCGACGAGATATTTGTTGTATATAGTTGGATCATCCACAAAATAATGTACAAAATACATTTTAGTATTTTGGAACAATGCAGTACTGTTAGTGCCTTATTCATGGTTTTTGTGTCCATTTCAGCTGTTGTAGGTTAATTGCGCCTGTCCAACTGTCTTCTGCGTTTAATTAATGCAATATTATCCCCGTCATTTGAAACACCTATTGCAAAAGTATAATTAACAAATTATATATAATAGGGACCATAAAACGGTGTCAATTTGGTTTGCGGTGTGTGTTTGATCACTGAATTCCTCATTATTTTTCATAAAGTTTAATATTTTTGTTGTTTCAAGAGGATAGAATACATCCCATTTTAATGTCTTTCAGCAAGTATTGTATCACAAAAACTACGAGAAAACCCAGAATCAATTTCAACCCGCTGATTTATTTTACTCCCTTGACGTTTAAAAAAAAACTCTGAAGAATATTTCCGGATCTTCGGAAAAGTCATAAAAACTATCCTAGATTTAGATCTTAGATTAACTTTCTCTCACTGAAATCAGTGGTATTTGATTTAAAGTGGCATTGAACTTGGTCCCTTGGCATTTCAATAGCTTTGAAAAAAAATCCAGCACTCAGGAATGGTCACAAGAAATATAACTTCAAGTTGCACTATCGTTTAAGGGAGGAACTCCATAAAAATAAGTTGATTACCATGTATAGAAATAGCTGGTATTTAACCTTATATATCATTGCAATTGGTGACATTTCAAGAATCTTGGAAAAAAATTGCGGATCCCAGGACTGGTCATTGGAACTTTTCTTCAAAGGTCAGTATAGGGGAAGACCTATTCTCCATACAAATATAAATCACCACATTTAGGTAAATTTCCTGTCACTGAAATCACCGGTATTTGAAGTCAAATATCAATAAAGTTGATCCGTTAACATTTCAAAAAACTAAAAATATTTCCGGATTTCCGGTTTTCCATGAAAAAGTTGAACCCACATAAAGGATAATTTCCTCTTACTGAAAACAGCGATTTGGGGGAATCAAATATTATTGAAGATGGTCCCTTGACAACTCGGAAAAATATTTCAGGATCTCAAGAATGGGCACAGGAACTATTCTTCAAGGTCCATTATAAGGAAAGAATTATACTCCATACAAATATTGATCACCACATTTAGGTTAATTTTCTCTCACTAAAATCACCGGTATATGAAGTCAAATATTAATGCAGTTGGTCCTTTGGCATTTCAAGATCACCACATTTAGGTAAATTTCCTCCCACTGAAATCACCGGTATTTGAAATGAAATATCAATGAAGTTGGCCCCTTAGCATTTCAAGAAACTTTTAAAAATATTTCGTGAGCTCAGGAATGGCCATAAGAACTTCATGGTTCAGTATCTAAGAAGGTCGGTTCTACATAAAAATGCTGAACCCACATTTAGGATAAATTCCTCTTACTGAAACAACGGTAGTTGAAAGAATGAAGATGGTCACTTGGCATTTCGAAAAACTCGTAAAAATATTACCGAATCTAAGGAATGTTCACAGGAACAATTTTTCAAGTATCGGGAAGGTAGCTTCTCCGTGAAAATGCTGAACACCACATGTAGGTATTATCTTACATATCACTGGAGTTGGTTACTTGGCGTTCTCGGAAACCTGGAAAAATATTTTCGGATCTCAGAAATGGCCATAAGCAGTATCGGGGAAGGCCGGTTCAACATAAGAATGCTGACCATCATACTTCCAAGTCTACGTACTCCCGACTGATATGTGTAGAGAGGAGCACATCATGCTGTAGACTGGAACTGATCGATGCGTCGGTCCGGTTTATGAAAATCAAAAATACGAACAACTGTTGCTCATATTCGGTTTTAGTACACGTCATTGCACTGTTTCTGTTCGTACACTACCAAGGATAAGTTCGGGAACACATAAATGAAAAATTAAATTCTACATCACCTAGCCTATCTGACCTTGATGTGGAAATGAAGGATAAAATGATATGATGAATAAATGTTGATGATAATCTTTGTAATTTTTTCGAGTAATGTTATAAAGTACCTTTTCGTTGATGTTAGATATGAGAGATACATGATAGTGAAACATCTAGGGAACCCCACATTTATGAACAGTAGTGTACGCTAAGCTGACGACGTTCTTCGCGAAGCAAATAAATATTTCTTTCTTCTGAAAGTAGGGATGATCACATCTAATGAGAATGATATGTATCATAGTCGCAAGTAATTGTGGCTTTTAATATCTGCCGGAAATTGACTGTTACACTATCTATATAAAGTTACCGCGGTTTGTTAAACAAACTAAAAAACTATTACTATTACTATTACGTAATGTGATTATCGGGAGGTAATGATATCCGATAGCTGCTAACCAGTTTCATTCCAACCTTATTTCAGGAGTCTTTTAGTGTAAAATTTATAAATTATAATCATGAATGTCTCAAAATGCAGGTTGCGCTGATTTTTTATACCGGTTAAAAAAATAGCGGAAGCGATAATCCCTATCGAAAATGTTCATAGTGGATTAACTCAGGCATAACATTTGATAACGGCACAAAAGCATTTGTAAACATACTTTCTAAGGCCCTTTACACGCGAACCAAAGTACGCCTACGCAAACCAACAACATCATCGGATAAGGGCAACTTTCACCTTTCCGAAAGTGGTATTGGTTTGCGTGAGCGTACTTTGGTTCGCTTGAAAAGGGCCTTAGAAAATTTGTTTACAAATGCTTTTGTGCCGTTATCAAATGTTATGCCTGAACTAAACTATGCCCAACTCTGAACGAAACATTACATTTTTACAACAGTTGATAAATGTTATCACTTTATCAATAAATGTTACTGTCATTTGGAATAAAGCAATTCCCTATGTTGCAACTAACTTTCTGAATACATCATAGCAAAGTCTTGTCATTATCGACTGTATTATCGTAATTATTAATTGAATCAGCTCGGTGAGATCTACATCTTACAACAAATCACACCGTCAATAGGGACTCTATATAAGCTTTTTGAGGTATTGGCAATTATACCATATGACGTTTTGAATGTGATTCTTAGATACGGAAATCAATAATACCTGCTGTGTAGATTATATAGTCAATATCAAGGTGGGAGGATATTTGCTTATATTGCTTCCCAAACAATATTTATATGTATACTCCAAACAAAGAAAACACCAGTAACCTAGCTTGTTTCATCGACCTGCAGAGAACACTATGTTTCCCAGTGCATATTTGGACCCATTGTCATTCAGGACGAAATGGAGGATGTAGGGAAAGGCATTTTATTTCTTGCTGACCTTTTTCATTATCAACAACTTGAATTATTTTTTGCTAAACATGCGACACCACTATTCGCATGCTTCAGTCAGCCGTCCGTAAAAATCATGTGAGCCGAAAACTCCTCGCGAGAAATTCGTGTTTAGTACATTTTTTTTCTTTCCCATGCCTTGTTCGCCATGTACCGGTACAACGGGAAAATGGTATGCATGAAATGAAAATGGAAAAACGATGCGAGGAAAGTCGGAAAATTGTACTTTGAAGTACACCAAAAGATTCCTGACATTCTCACGAATCTTCTAGTATATAATTATCTGGTACTTTAGAATAAAGATCACGAGCTATCAGAGGGGAAAGATAGAACATGGTGTTTACACCTATGCAATCACGTGGCCGGAATTGGGTGGTCTTCATGTCGGAAAAATAACCCAGTTTTTTTGTGGGTTGGATTTTCCCAAAAATTTTCCAACTATCATGTTGCCAGAAAGTTATGCTAGAACGTAGTGTGCTTCGATTTTTCGATTAGCTTATTTTTCCAGCTCATTTTTGCGGGTTTTCCTAGATGTTCTAAAAAATTCCAGCAAGGGAATAATATCAATAATACTTCCAGACGGGGGCCTTAAGGCACAAGCGCAATGCCAGCGGACGCGGAAAAGCCCGATCTGAGTAAGCCTAACTGTCGGATTGAAAACTAGTTAGAACCAAATCGACTTCGGTTAGGCATCTTGATGTCATTTGTGACAACTGTCAAACATGCCGTTTGCGTCCGCTTCCACCCATATTACGTTTGGGCCTTTACGCTTGAAATTTCACTTCAATCAACCGTAAAATTGAATTACATGTGAGAAGGTAACTGAAGTGTACGTGACTCAAAAAATACCTTTTAGGACCAGAAGCCTGATCCAACCCATTTTCCAAATAAGATATGATGAAGAAAGAAAGAAAATTAAGCAACACTTACCCGATAGGAACGAGCTTCGATGGCGTCAGCATTGACCAGTACCAACTGTACAGTGTGCTTGTCGATTGGATTGAGCTGGAAGAACACATGGTCCTGTGTGGATTCTACAGAAGGAAAACCCCAGAGGAGAAAACCCCGGAAATCCGAGTGTAAGAAATCATATGTACGGGAATGGGATCCAACAAAATTGCATCCAGGATATAAATCAATTCGCCCTCCCCCACGAGAGCCCTCACATACCGTCTTGGCTCTGCAAGCTGAACGTCACCACGCCAAAGGCTCCTCCGTCCGTATCGGTGGCACTGAAGTTCGGAACCGTTTCACCTTGCGTGTTGACCAATGGTCTACCGTTGGTCAGTGATTCGAACCTGGAAGATAGATGCACAAGGCACGTAGGTGGAAAACCAATTATCAATTGGCACTTGGTTGGTTCGGATTTTTTGTTGTTGCTGCCTGCTTACTTCAATCGGATCCGTTCGTCATTTCGGGGAAAGTTGATCACCGGTGCCATATAGTTAACCGGGTCAATCAGAACGGTATAGGTGGCGCTGTTACACAGCCGAGGGCTGTCTTCCAGCAAGCTGTACTCGTCTCCCCGATCGCAAGCCTAGCAACCGACACAGAAAAAGAAGAAGAAAGAGGAAAAGTGATGACGATGCCAACATCAATTAAAAGAAGATGCATGTGCTGTGCTAACGGAATCCTAACCTCAATCTGTACCGCCCAGCTGCCGTAGAATCCTTTCAAATCCTGACCCACCGTAAGTCGGGCTACGTATTCGTCCGGCTGCGTCAGGACGAAGAGATTGTCGATGCTGTCTTGCCGGTTGCCGCCTATTGCCTCCGGAGAATTGTCACCAGCTGAAATCAGAATGGGAAACGGAACGGAAACGGAAAGCGAGAAGTTAAAAGTTGATTAAAATGCTGTCTCTCTGATGGTCCCACTCACTCTACACTCTACATATATGCGACAAATGCTGACGATGGGACATTGTGGGATGTAGGTGTGGTAATTCATATGGGAAACTGCAATCAGAAGAACTTGATACACCCAAAACATAACGATAGATTGATGCATTTGAGGTATTAGTTTCTTACATTCACTGTAATGGATTGGTAGCACCAACAGCGGGCAAGATGTTATTTGATAGCTGAGTCTCGGCAATTGTTTTACTGAGTCTCAGCAATATAAATTGCAGAACTATTCGGCTGTTGGAATCTCGGCGAAAAAAAATTAAGTGTGTATGGAGCATCTATATGTGGTTGATAAGGATAGGGTCCCCCTGGTACAAACCCTAATGGATGGAGTTGACCGCAAAATTCGAAAATTTTATGCAAATACCTGATACCTATGTTTTTAATTAGAGAATTTTTAAATCATATCCCATGAATCTGAAATTAACAACTACACACTTAGTTCACATGCACACTAGCGCCTCGTAGTGAGAGAGTTATGAACTAATATGAACACCATCCGGAAGACCGTGCCCGGAAAACCATAAAGTAAAATACAGTTACAACGAAATCTATTGTCAACAACCTATCTTATTTTACGTATATTGTACAATAAATTTTAACATATTGTTATTACAATAGATGTAAAAATACGTCCCATATTGTAAGGATTTTCAACAATAGAACAACATTACAATTTTCGGTAAATGGCTCAAGTTTGTTCGGAAAAAAGTGATTTTTCGTATGGTTAAGATACATAACAACCCCCTTGTTCTATTGTAGATTTCCCCATTAACCATAGATTATATTGTGGAAATAATAAATTCTATGGTTATTTTATTGTTGTAGACAGTACGATTTATTGTGAATACAATAAATTCTATTGTACGGTTACAATACATTTCATTGTACCTCTAAGGTACTTTTTTTTACGGGTGGTCATCTGAACAACTTAACTGAAAAGCTAATATCACCGACAAACCGACATGCCACAGGAGCATTTCGTTTGTCCACAATTCGATTTGTCAAACGAGCAATTCGAACTGTCAAACGGGTGATCAGATCTTTCAAACGAGGTGAGACGCAGACCAAGGCAATATAAATTCTACGTGTGTACGTGTCCTTGCTCATGATATGACGCGATTGGATGAGCAGACGGCGGTAGTGTTTAACGTACTTAAAATATGGCGTCTTGGACAAGAATTTAAATGTAGCTTGTATGAGCTGTCACGTCGGTTCTTCGGTGCTAATATGTTCACCATCCGAAAGGACTTGATCACTTGAACAACTTTGCTCAAGACAGTAACCTTCTATATGGCCAGGATCAAGAGATATTCTATTTCGAGCCCAAATTCCATATATTATAACACCCGTCATAAGTAATATGAAAATAAAGCGCCTCTAGTGGCGTATTTCCCAATTAAACCTGAATAGAATGCCACAAGCTTGTTGATCTAGCCCAGTAAAACAACTTTGTCCAAGACAGTATAGCTTTATATATTGAAACAAATGAGATAATCGACCACAGCCCCTATTAGTGGATCTCCTCGCCCATAATAGTGACAAAGCTGCATCACCCATCATTGACAAAACCTTTCATACAGCGGCGCCAGTGGTGTAGTGGTAAGCGTGATTATCTATCACCCCAGCAGACCTGGGTTCAATCCCAGTCGGCGCTGCCGGGATGTTCTGAGGCATAACATCACTGATCATGCCTTCCTTCGGAAGGAAGGTAAAGCCGTTGGTCCACGGTTCATAAGTTTATGGGTCGATATGTAGGGTCCAAGTGTGGTAGCTGTCTCCCTGGCGTCGGTAGCATTGGTGCTCAGCACCATTGGTAGGAGCTGTCACTTACGCACAACAGAAAATGAACTGAGAAAATGCATTTAACTTTTGGCTAACAATGCAGTTAATAGGAATTTTTTGGGTTGGAAAATTTCTCGACTTCCCTGGGCATAGAAGCACAGACAAACAGACATAACACTCGCAAGTTGTTGATCGAACAAGCATTTAACGGTCAATTTAAAAGTATCATAGTTGGTAGTACTACCACCTGTGGCGCGCATAGTAAATTCCCTTGCGTTTGACGTTTACACACTACCGCCATCTGTTCAGCGTACTACCCACCACAATGTACTCAACAGATGGCGGTAATGTTTTAGCGACGATGTTTTACAGTGAGAAATATTCAATGAGTTACGTCTGTTTGTCTGTGATAGAAGTATGATTGGACTTGCCACACAATTATACCAATGCAAAAATGGTACAGGCATCGAAAGCTCTCAATTAATAACTGTGGAAGTGCATCTAGAACACTCAGTTGAGAGTACGCAATAAGCTAATATGCGATATGCAATAAGCTTGAAATGCGAAGAAGAAGAAGAAGAAGAAGAAGAAGATTGGTACCGAACCGTGGACGTTGAGATTACGGGGTCAGTGTGTTGAGCACTCGTTTTCAACGTTTGGGAAAATGAAATGGTTAAAGGCGTGGTATAAGGGCTTATTTATTATATATTAAGTTTATTTGCCTAAGACTACCTGCATAAGAACTATTGTTAGTGACGAGAGAACCATCAGCAGCTGAAAGTAATGATTAAGCAAAATGATTAAAGTTTTAATTATAAATAATCACGAATAGAAATTACAACGAGAAACGCACCATTTAGGTAACGGAATCTATTTCAACTCAGATCAAAATTAAAGTTACTAGTGATTTTAAAAACTCAAATCTTACGTTTGCGTTTTTGCGTCTACAAGTTTTGCCTTACGAATTTCAACTACGCAATAATCACCGATGAGATTTTAGATGTTCAATGTTCATTGTTTTATATTTTTACAATGTTCAAACAACATCAAACTAACAGACATAACGCTTCGAAGAAAATTCTTCAAAAACTATAGTCAAACCACAGACAAACAGACGTAACACTTCATTGTGTAGCTTCGTTCACGCATTTAACGGTTGATTTGAATATTATCAGTTTCGCGAACTACTCGCCACAGCGCTGGCATCGGATCACTTTGACGTTTCTATACATTCTATAGAACTTTTATGCAATATTGTTTGCGAGTTAGCGAGCAATCTTTTTTTCCGCGAGAAGCCAGAGAGATGTCGTTACTGAGGTCCTATGTTTTGAGATACTATGTTTTCAAGAGAAACTTTTTCAAAGTGTTACGTCTGTTTGTCTGTGGTCAAACGTATTTTGCATACACACTAGCACCATAGAGGTAACTCTAAGACTAGAAGGTCCCGAAGAAACGTGTTCAACTTTTTGGCTCAGCTCTGGTACTCTCTTCGGTCCCAAGCTAATCGACTCACCCCTCGAAACATAGGAAAATCCACTAACCCCTCATTTTATCTGTCAAACTTTCATAGCGAATCAAAACAAACATTGTGTAGTAGTAGAATTTCGACTAGAATGGGGTACGTTAATCGATTTGCTTGGGACCAATAGGCTAGTCAAGTAGTGAGCCAATTTAAAATCGTTAGTTTCGTATTGATTGTTGCTAGCACCCCCTATCATGCACATTCTTAAGCGGAGCATCCCTCGTTCATGCGATTTTTTCACTAGTTGCTTTTCCCTCGTCCTGTCAACGCGTCAGCTGTGTTGAAAACAAAACAGATGGAAGTCAGTGATGTTGGTTCTACGAAATTTCCCGTAGATCTATAGAATTGATTGAATTTTGCAGGAATACGGATACGCAGTAGAAATTCGCAGAAGCTCAGTCTTTTTTAGGGATTTGTTTTGATTGTTTAGTGTGATTTTTCATTCGCTGGAAACAAGTTTTTAAACGAGGTAATGAATCACTAATGAGTGCCCTTTCAACTACCGCTCATCACTTTAATGTGTACATAGCAAACAATATGTAGCAATAAAACATCAATAAAGGTTATCTTCCATTCGACTACAATGTGCAGTCTTCATCATCATCCCACTAAAGACTTATCAAAACCCTAACCCCCTTAAGTACTTATCCCATATGTAAAAATGTCAAGATCATGTAGTAGATATAGTTAGTGTGGAATAGAAATGACTAGAATCCACAGGACTACAACGCCTGTCATGTGAACAACTTGAGTGAAGCAAAATTTCTCTGCACGCTATTTCAAAACTACCCAAATTTGGATAGAATCCACCCAGATCTGTCAAAACTGAACCTACCCAAAAATGGGTAAACTGTGTTGGGAGTGACAAGTTGACAAATGAACAACGTCGATCGGATTCATATCAATGTTGCTCATTTGTCAACTTGACACTCCCAACACAGTTTACCCATTTTTGGGTAGGTTCAGTTTTGACAGATCTGGGTGGATTCTACCCAAATTTGGGTAGTTTTGAAATAGCGTCTGGTGCTCTGGTGCTAATTTGATAGCTCCTTCTTCTCCTTTACGATTAAGCTTGGTTCACCTCACGCCGCGTTGCGGAAAATATAATAAATGTTCTAGATTACGTTATAGTAAAGCAGGATTCACGAAAATTATGCACGTAAATTCTAGAATATAATACATCAACTTTTAATTGATCATTTCAGTAAATTAAGGATGGTTTTGAGGGCACTATATTGTTTGTTTCTGTGGTAACGCAACGCGCTTAAAACGACGCAGAAATCGTCGCCATAGGAATTTGTATGGCGATGATTTCTGCGTAGTTTTCGGCGTGTTTTGTTACCAAAGAAACAGATAGTATTGGTTGCCTCTTTGCCGCATTTAATGTTACATGATTGGAGCATAACTATTAGCGAATTTGTTTATTATTCAGTTCCAACCTGGATCGGGTATCAAGATCGGCTCTGCTTGTTTTCTGACAAACGTCAATTTGATCGTTTGTTTTTAAAACCTACCTCAGGTTGAGGTTCGTACTGACAAAAAGTTCGGTTTCGCACTGGGTTGGAACTGGTTCCAACCC